ACAAGGACTTCATTCTTCTTGGATCAACTATCAATACTCACTGAAGCAGCAGTCAAGAAATCAAACGACATATTGCATTAGGCAAATCTGCTGCACAAAACCTTTTTAAAGTGTTGAAGAACAAAGATGTCAGCTTGAGGACTTAAGGTACACCTGCCCCAAGCCATGGTGTTTTCAATAACCTCATATGCATGTGAAAGCTGGACAGTGAATAAGGAAGACTGTAGAAGAACTGACGCATTTGAGTTATGGTGTTGGAAGAGAATATTGACAGTGTCATGGGCTGCCAAAAGAACCAACAGATCTGTGTTGGAAGAAGTGCAACCAGAATGCTCCTTGGAGGCCAAGATGACCAAATTCGTCTCTCATACTTTGGACATATTGTCAGGAGGGACCAGTCACTGGAGAAGGATATCATGTTTCGTAAGGTGGAGGGTCAGAGAAAAAGGAAGACCCTCAGCGAGATGGATTGGCCAAGTGGCAGCATCGATTGACTCAAGTGTGGCAACAGTAGTGAGGTTGGCCCAGGATCGGGCAGTGTTTTGTTCTAAGCTAGCAACAACAACAACTTAATTTATAACAATCCTATCAGAGATTAATATTATGAACATGTCAGTTTCATTATTTTAAAAATCAAAAGTACTCCACTGACTAAATCATGATACTGAGGAAAATCTCCAAATGTTGAACATATAGGTTATTTCCAACTTTAGGGTCCAACTTTAAGGGTTTTCCTCCCCCCCCCCCCCCCCACCCACCCCAAGCTTTTTATTGTCCTTTGGGTGAAAGTTTACAAAGCAAATTGTTTTTCCATTCAACAATTTGTACGTATTTTGTTTTGTAACATAGATTATAATCCCTACAATTTAGCAGCTTTCCTCCCACATCCTCCCTGTGCTTACTGCTTTCACTTGTCCTTCTTTCCAATGCCTTTCTGCCTTCTGAGCTTTATCTCTGGGCAAAGACTACCCTTTTGGTCTCCAACGGCTGCTCGTACCTCCCTGGTTTACCTTATAGACCTGTGTATTGTTTGGCTCAAAGTTGAGTCACAGGGTTGAGTTCCATTCCAAGCTTGAAGGGGGTCTAATAGCCATAGTCTCCAAGGTCTCATCAATTGCTATCAGACCAGTAAAACTGATCTTATTTATTATTCTGAGTTTTGTTCCACATTTGTCTCCCACTCTATCTAGGACTTTCTATTGTGATCAGAACTCAGTTCTTGCTTCGTCACCTGATTTCCCAATGGTGTGGCTTTGAGCAATTCTTGTAATACCCCTGATTCAGTTTCCCGTAAATCAGGGTTGATGGTCCCTTCTATCACCTGGTCTTATTGTTGTGAGATTTAAATTACACTTTATAAAACACAACACTGGGCTGGGCACACAGAGAATGCTCAGTACGTCACCCCCAGGATGAGTAGAAGCTGTAATCACAGCCGTCCTCACCTGCTCCCATCAATCTCAGGGGGAGCATGATCTCTTTGGTCAAAATAAAGTATTTCTGAAGAAAACTCCACAGTCAGCAACAGGCTAAAACAATATAGCACAGAAAAACAAGGAAACCCAACACTTCCTCTGCATTGAACTTTAATCCAAGACCCTGGAGTTTGGAAAAACCCTTCCAAGACAGGATATTTCTGTCAGTGGTTTCAGAATAGGGGTGCCCCCCTCCCCTGTAAGACCCATTCCCATTGCCTCAATCAACAGAATTTCTGCAGGAAAACAGAGCCCAGGTTCAAAATAATGGGAGGGAGGGAGGGAGAGAGGGAGCTCTCTCCAAAGCTGTTATATACACCACCCAAGTTTATTCTTCCTGCTTGGAAACACTATACCACTTGTACAAGCCAGAGACAAGAGATGCCAGGTCACCTATTAGCTGGATTATTCTATCCCCACCTCACTGCATGTTGAATTAGAGAGGCGTGCATGGTGACTAAGAAGGTGAGGGAACAGCTACAACAAACATTTTCCTTCCCACTAAGAACACCCTCCCTTGCACACTCTGGACTGTCACATGCTCGTCAAAACTGTGACTCAATATTAAAACATGGCCTCTTCTTTTAAACAGCAAAAAGAAAGGAAGACAGACCCCATTGTTCACTGGGTGTGGGAGGTGGGAACATCGCTAGCTGTTTTGATCTAAAGCATTCTGCAACAACACCCACAAGATGATGGTTCCAAATTGTATCTTTCAGAATTTCATTTTCATGGGTGACTTCAATGCTGGCTGCAACTACGTCCGCAAGAAGGCCTGGAAGGACATCCGCCTGAGGACTGACCCCAGGTTTGTTTGGCTGATTGGAGACCAAGAGGACACTACAGTTAAGAAGAGCACCAACTGTGCATACGACAGGTATGAGGCATCAGTGGGGACCCTTGCCAGACAAGCAGTGTCTCAGTATGTGTTAGAAAGAGCACTCCTTTGGGTAGGTCAACTATCACCAGAGTACTCTGCTAAGAAAGTAAAGGCAATTCTATTTCAGGACCTCCACTGGGTCAGGGGAGTCTGGTGTAGCACTGTGGGTTAATGTGCTGGACTGTAGGGTTGGTTTGAACCACTCGGTTAGTGGTTCAAGCTCATCAGTCACTTCTCAAAAACACTAAACAGGGTCACTATGAGTTGATGGCACTTAACAACAACAACAACCGGGTTAGGGGAGTACTGGTGTGGCACTGTAGGATAAGCACTCGATCTCAAGAGTAGTTTGAACCACAGGTTGGTGGTTCAAACTCACCAACCACTTCTTAGAAACCCTATACAGGGTTGCTCTGAGTCGGCCACCAACTCATTGACACTTAGCAATAACAACAACCAGGTAAGGGGGAGTCCTGGTGTGTTGCTGTGTGTTAATGTGCTGAACTGCAAAGTCAGTTTGAACTGCAAGGTAGGCAGTTCAAGCGCACCTGCTGCTCCTCAGAAACCCTAAACGGGTTTGCTGTGGGTCAGAACCAACTCAATGGCACTTGCCAACAACAACCAGGTAAGGACTCCTGGTATGGCACTGTAGGATCAGCACTGGACTGCTAACTACAAGGTTTGTGGTTCAAACCCCAGCCACATCCTTGGGAACCCTATACTGTTGCTATGAGTCAGAATTGACTCAGTGGCACTTAACAACAACCAGGTAAGGAAGGACTACCAACTGGACTGCTCACCGCAGAGTCAGTAATTTGACTACTTGTTGACACATATCTACCACCCCTCGAAAAGACTCTACCAGCTACTTTGTGGGAGAAAGATGAGGCTTTCTAGCTCTCAAAAAGATGTAGAGCCTAAGAAGACCTATACAGGGTCACTATGAGTCCACAGTACATAATCACCACCACTGGGTATCACACAAAGTACCACAAATCGGGTGGCTTAAAACAATAGAAATGTAGTGCCTCTGTATGGAGGCTAGAAGCCCAAAATCGAGGGGTTGACAGGGCCATGTTCTTTCTGAAGGCCTTGGTTTTCATTAGCATGTAGACACATCACTCCAATCTCCACCTCCATTGCCAATTCCATTGCCTCGTGGTGTTTTCCCTATGTGTTTGTCTCTGTTCTTCTCTTCTTATAAGGATAACAAGCAATGAATTAGGGTCTACGTGACACTGTGGGACAATGCACTAGACCACAAAGTCAGTTTGAATTGCAAAGTTGGTAGTTCAAATTCACCAGCCATTCCTCGGAAATCCTGTACAGAGTCACTATGAGTTGGAACCGACTCAACGGCACTTAACAACAACAACAACAACTAATACAGCAAAGACCCTGTTGCTAAATCAAGTTAGCTTCTAAGATTCCTGGTACACACAATTTTGAGACAGCACTAGTCAACCTAGTACAATGACCATGTGTGGTGACCCTTCCATAGCTTAGCGGGGACAAGTACAAGCTTTGGAGTCTGACAGATCTAGGTTTAAATCCTGGCTCTACCACTTATGATATCTGAGACCAAAAATCTTTAGCTCTATGTGTCTTAGCTTCATCATCTGCAAATGGAAATTGTCCAGGTGCTTCATTCGTAGACATGAAGATTAAATGAGGTAACATTAAATGAAGTAACTTTGCTGCCAGCATAGGATAAGTACTCAATATATTTTGGCCAAACCCACCAGCCACTCCTTGGAAACCTTATACAGGGCTGCTGTAAGTTGGAACCGACTTGACGGCACTTAACAACAACAACAACAATAGTCATTCCATAAAGAGCTCTTGGCCTTGTGGGTTAAGCACTAGGCTGCTAACTTCAAGGTTGGTGGTTCAAACCCACCATGTGCCCCACTGGAGAAAGATGAGACTGTCTGCTCATGTGAAGGTTTATAGTCTGGAAAACCCTATAGAGCAGTTCTGTCCTATAGGGTCTATAGAGGTGACTCAGTGGTAACGGGTGGGGACTCGTTCCATCACAGACAGTCCACAGTTTATTCACCCATTTCCATATTGTTGGGGATTTGTTGGGGTTTATTATTATAAACTCTGTTGCAATGAACTTCTGTCTACAACCTTTATGTTTATATTGATCATTTCCCCAGGGTAAAACCTTAATAATGAGACTAGTGGGTGCAAAAGCATTTACACAATTCCTAAATTCAAAGAAACAATAGCATCTTCTTGTACTGGTAGGAGCCCGTAGTGGTGCAGAGGTTAGATGGTAGACTGTGGTTCAAACTTACCAGTGGACACAGAGGAGACAGTCTGCTTCCCTAAAGACTGTAGCCTTGGAAACCCTATGAGGAGTTCTACTGTGTCCTATAGGGTTCCTGTGAGTCAGAATCAACTTGACAGCAATGGATTTGTTTTGCCTGTGGCGCTCCTGGCAGCTTTGGTTAAAGATCTATTCCCGGGGGTTACCTTAGCTCCTAGCAGCGTCTTTCGTCTTTCGAGGTTGGATCTTGGATTCGGATAAGGTGAGGGGGTTGTACTTATAAGAACTTACTGGAGATTTGAAGTAAAGTTTAAAAAGCTTCTACCTTTGTACCTGAGATGTGTGAGTCTTGCCGTATATCTAGATGCACGATGATCTAGCGATCTAGCTGCCCACAGCAAAGACCACAGACAGGGAAGTCCCGGGGAGTCCCGGGCCCACGATGGCCATGGTTCCCAGACTTCACCTTGCTGCAGAGACAGCAGAGATGGTCATCTGCGATAGCGCAGTTGTTCTCATTTCTCAAGTCTTGAGGTCCAGCTTTCATTTCCTCCCTGAGATCTCCTTTGTTCCTCTTAGAGCTTTTGGACCACTGTTTCCTTTGCAGAAGTCATTGCCCCAGCTCTCAAAGTGAAAGCAGCCCTGCTCTGGGGACCGCAGAATCAAGGTGGGAATTCACCAGAGATGCAGCTCCCATACTACCCCCTCCTCCCCACCCCAGGCCTGTGTTAGAGTGGATGTGTGACCTTGGGGGGAAGGGGCGTTCAAGTCCCTTCTCTGGCCCATTCTCCTGTGACAAATGAGAGGGAGTGGGTAGTGATCAAAACAAAAAGAAAAGTTCATCACAAGTTTACACTAGAGCAGGTCAGGTTGCAGAAACAGTTAAAAAAAAAAAAAAGAAAAAAAGGTTTTCCTGAAAGGACCCTGACTTTATGTATTTCAAAGAACGGTGGGGCTACAAGTTTGCAGCCTGATGTGAGGAACTTACTTTCTGGTTGAGTTCACAGTTAGCCACAGAGCACAAAGAGCAAACGTGGGAACCCAAAGCCAAAAGCCAGAAATCAAACTCACTGCTGTTGACTCTATTCTGACTCATAGTCACCCTCTTCAGAGACTGGAACTGCCCCAGAGGGTTTCCAAGCTGAATTCTTTATGGAAGGAGATTGCCTTATCTTCTCCCACAGGATGACTAGTGGGTTTGAACCACCAGCCTTTCAGTGAGCAGCCAAGCATTTAACCACTGTAGCACCAGTTTTCCTTAAACCCAAAACAGCATCAGGGAAAGCTTGGTGGATACTCATGACCCGGCCATGTGACTCTCCTCGTCACTGTCCATCAGTCTGTTGAGCCCATATAGACCCAAACTCCATTACCCTCCCTGTAATTCTTTTGAGTCTGTGTTCCCAAAACTTCAGTCACTGGAATATAACATTCCTACTATACATGGTTAAGGAGCTCTGGTAGCGTAGTGGTTACGAATCAGGCTGTGAACCACAAGGTCAGCAGTTCGAAACTACCAGCTGTTCCACGGGAGAAAGATAAGGCTTTCTGTTCCCATAAGATTTACAGCCTCAGAAACCCTGTATAGGGTTGCTATGAGTCGAAACCTACTCCACGGCACATAACCACCACCACCACCCACCACTGTACATGGTAGGCCCAGGATCAGGCAGTGTTTCATTCTGTTGTGCATAAGGTCACTGTGGGTCAGTACCAACTCGATAGCACCTAACAACAACAACTGTAAATGGACCAAGAAGCAGTTGTTCGAATAGAACATGGGAACACTGAATGGTTTAAAATTAAGAAAGGTGGGCTACAGGGCTGTATTCTTTCACCATACTTATTCAACCTGTATGCTGAGCAAATAATCTGAGAAGCTGGGTTATATGGTGAAAAACTTGGCATCAGGATCGGAGGAAGACTCACTAACAACCTGCGGTATGAAGATAATACAACCTTGCTTGCTGAAAGTGAAGAGGACTTACAAATACTTACTGGTGAAGATTAAAGGCCACAACCTTCAGTATGGATTGCATCTCAATGTCAAGAACACAAAACTCCTCACCACTGGACCAATAACAACATTATTATCAGTGGAGAAAAGATTGAAGTTGTCAAGGACTTCATTCTTCTTGGATTAACTATTAACACGCATGGAAGCAGCAGTCAAGAGATCAGAGGACGTATTGCATTTGGCAAATCTGTTGCACAAGATCTTTTGAAAGTGTTGAAGAGCAAAGATGTCAGCTTGTGGACTAAGGTGCACCTGACCCAAGCCATGGTATTTTCAATAACCTCATATGAATGTGAAAGCTGGAAAGTGAATAAGGAAGACCGTAGAAGAATTGATACTTTTGAGTTATGGTGTTGGAGGAGAATATTGAAAGTGCCATGGGCTGCCAAAAGAACCAACAGATCTGTGTTGGAAGAAG